GGGGCTTTTCTGTCCTATTGTATAGCAAGGTGTCGAAGGCTGGTGCAGTTATCGGAACGTGAGCCAGTTATGTTGTCTTTTGGATGGTCATGCTATTCCTTTGAAGGGTCTTTTTTACTTCGTCTATCTATCTTTTTTATGGTCTTCAATTTGCCTAGAAGCCGTCGACTCTCATATCTTAGGCCTTTATCGAGGCTTGCTGTTGTGGCTTCGTTCTCACGTGTCCAAACTACTTCATTTGTTAAACCTCGGTGTATGCCTTGGTCCATTCGCCGCTCTCTTGATGGCTTGTGTCTTTGCTTCTTTGCCTGTCTCTTTTCATAATGATTAGCGCTTTTTCTGAAATTTTTGCACGCTGTTATCTTACTTTCTGTGTTTTGTTGAAGGTCCAGATTTGGCGCTGGTAGCAAAGAGTTGTTTTGAAAATTGATCTGGTAAGTTGTTTCTTTATCTCCATATCGGAATGTTTTGATGGGAGAGGGGGGCAACTGTTTGATGGGTGGCTGCGTTTACCTTTAGAACGGTACTCCTCTTTCAAATTCTCTGTCCATTTTCCCGTCTGGTTAAGCTTCCAAAGTTTGATCTTTTGTTTCAGTTGTGTGTTGCTCACGTGGATATTTAATTTAATTAGGTTTTGTTTTGAAGAGCTGCGTTTCTAGTTGTGCCCACTTTTACTCTTATATTTCTTTCATACTTAGTTCAGTTTAGTGGTATGTTCTAGGAGGTTGCCCTGGTCTTGATGTATGATCGAGGGTCTGGTAGTCAGCGAAGACCAGTTCATTCATTTCATCTGGATGGTCGTTTGCTTCTCGTGTCATCTTGTTCACGCAGACTGTGAAGAGTAAATGTGAAAGGACACACGACTCTTGTTTTGTGCCTCACTTTTTAAATTAGAGGTTTCTTGTCAGGTTTTGTTGTTTTTGAAGTTCCCCTCCAACGTGTTTGGTCTCTGGTAGTTGCTTTTCGTATTATTTTCTCATAGTTTCCTTTATCTCTGCTTGAACGAGCGTAAGCCAAGTTCTTCATTTTGATAGAAGACTTTCGCTTTTTCTTCTGTGTTCCTTTGTGTATCTTCGTCTTTGCTAAGGTGGATGAAGAGGATTGGTGTCTATGACATGGTTTGATATTGCCCTGGAGTCCATGACGGTACTTTTCATTCTTTTGTTTGCTTGTATGACGTTTAATTGTGGGGAGATTTTCAGATTATACCATTTATACACAGATTTTACTGTGTTTTAGTAACTGTTGGCTATAATGAGGTCATATTCAGTGCACAAATTGAGCAATATTTTAACCATTGCCTTTGTATTCTTAGTCGTTCTGGAGTCATTGATGGTCTGTCCAAGAGGGCTTTTTTATCCTACTTTTCAGTGGTTATAACTTCCCCATTGCATTTTACTTTATTGATCTGATGGCGGAATTGTTCATAGAGGTCTAGTCTTTCCTCTTCCGATTAGCTGTCATTGCATAGGACGTAAGTCTGGGAGTATGTTGAAGGTTGGTTGTCTTTTTGTCAGCCTGATGCTCATGATTTTTTTCTGAATGAGGTTCTATTTATTGTGATGCATTTTGTTTTTTGTTTTTGGTTTTCGTTATAAAGCTAAAACTAATTCAAGTTTAGTCTTACTTTTTGAGGTTGAACCAATCCAGATTTGGAGAAAATTACCATGTAGTTCTCATTCTTTGCATTTTGATTCTTTCTTTCTAATAATGTCTGACAATCCTATCAGGTCTGTCTTTCTCTTCGTCATAAACTCAACAATTTAGGGCTATTTGCGTGTCAGTCCGCTAATGTTCCTGGTTCCGATTTTTGCCACTCTTCTATTTCGTTGTCCTTAAACCCTTTCACTGACAGGCCAGTCTCAATCCAACCAGAAAGCTCGTGACAGTCTCGGTCTGGGCACTTACTGGGGTTAATATTTCCTTTGCCGTTACCATTTTGGTCTGTCCGTTTGTTCTCTTTTGTTTTAATTTGAGCAATAAATAATCCACTGCCGGCTTGATATGCCTGTTACAGTTTCACCAGAGCCCCATCGGCCAGCAAGATTTAGGGGGGACCTTCACAGCTTACGTAGCGCATTAGTGACATTTGCAACACCGTAGCCTACTACACTCAACCCAGTATCCCCCTACTTTGTCCTTTTTTCCCCATTTCGGCGCAGACGATGTGGCTCTGTGGGAGGGGGGGGGGGTCTTTGGGGCACTACATGTACTGCCACGTGACACGATTTTAAAATGCAAGAGTTCTCTATCTTTAGGAGAGAACAGACTATCTCTGTATCTCTCCTCCCCTCTTCTTTCTCCCCTCCTCCTCTTTCCTTATCTCCCTCTCTCATTTCTCTGACTTTCTCTTTCTGACTTTCTCTCTTTCGTCTCTCCCTCATCATCTCTCATACTTTCTCGTCATCTCCCCCCCTCTCTCTCTCTCCCTATCTCTCTCTCTCTCTCGCTCCCTCTCTCTCTCTCTCTCTCTCTC